AGACAAGTCAGAACTGCTCCATGGGGTATCTGGAAGCACACGGCCTCATGAGACTCAGCTGAGCTTTAGAGGGGCTCTAGGTAGACCGTCTCAGCCAAGTGACCTGCACGGTCAACACCAGTAAGGCGGCAGATGCGGCCCTAGGCGCACCGTCTCCCGGTCTCGAGAATGCCTGTCGGAACAGAACGGCACTGGGAACAGTCTAGGTTCGGGCTCCTGTTTGTGGGGGAGCTGGCTAGATGCATGCTAGGACGGCTTCCCTTCAAAGGCTCTGGGGCGCCTGGGTCTGCCCATATCTACTGGCGGGCATCTCCACCCCAGAAGTGGGGTCCAGGACTCCCCGATGCCTACGGCCACCCGCGCCGGGGGTCAGTGTCACATGTCCTTTCAGACCGGCTTTGGGCTGCGGGGCTGCAGCACGCCCCTCCGCTCGGCCCTGGCCTCCGCTCGGTCCACCCTGCGCGTGTCCAAGCACCGCCCACTGCACTAGGCTCTGCAGTCTCGGCCTCGGGGCGCGCTGCCCTCTGGTGGCCGCCAAGGGGCGACGTGCAGGCGCTTCAAGTCCGCAGCGCGCACGAGCGCGCCCTCTAGGGGCCCTACCAGGAACAGCGGACTCTTCGCGGCTGGCCAGAGGTCACTGAGGCTGGGGTCCCTGAGTCCGCGCCGCTCGTATCTGAGACTACTGCCTGACTTTACTACTGGGGGTTCACTCGCGTCAGGCGGAGTGTGAAGTGTGTGTGTGTGAGGGGGGCTACATGATCTCAACTAACCCCGCCTGCAAACCTCAGGCAGCTGTGTTTCCTTCTCGATTTACAGATAAGTAAACAGAGGCACCCCCATCCACTGCCCTCTAGTAAGATTCATGTCCTACTGCTCCTTCGGGTTTCCGAGGCTGTAAATCTTTACGGAAGCGGACAGCCTCGTTTTTCTTTTGTGCTGACCTGACCTTATCCCACTGTACCACCAGCGTTCATTCAGCTGAGGCCCAGAGGGGCCACCCTGGTCCTACCTACTCCCAGCCTTGCCCCGTCTCACACGTGGTGGGATGACATGCGTGCAATCCAGGGAGCCCGTGGCCAAGAGCTGGCCCTGCATAAATCCACATGGCCACGTGTAGGAGGGTGTCCCTCCATGCGGTGCCTGCTGACCGGAGGCCCTAGCCCCAAGGCGGCTCCCCAGACCTCAGGGTGAGCAGACTTGCTGGGGGTTTGGCTCATGTGTCCCCAGGACCAGCCAGCGGGGACACATGAGCACATTTCTGATGTCTGTCAAGGCCAGGGCCTGCTGCATCACCTAGTGCCCAGTGAGGCAGGCCCCAGCTCCCAGAAAAGAGTGGACAGCGCTATCCACAACACCCCAGGGGCCCGGGGTCAGTGAACCCAGCTGGGCCCAGACAGATCTGAGAAGGTGTTAGCCTCTGGTCTAACACCCTGCCCTGGGTGGGGTCTCAACCTTGCCGCTGCCAAGGAGTCCTCTGGGGTCAACTCTGCTGCTGGCTGGAGAGGTGGGCAGGCGGCCTGCTGTCACGGTGAGGCCAGTGGGACAGTCCAAGCTGAGCCCAAGGAGCAGAGTGAGTTCAGGAGACCCTGACCCACTATGTGAGCCCCACACCTGTGAACAGAGGGACCCGAGGGGAACGTGGCTGGTATGGATATGGTGGGAGTACCAGGAGCTGGAAGCGGCCAGGGCAAATCGTTTCTAGTCTTGCAGGAGCACAGCTTGGGCACACCTGACTTTGGACTTTGGGCCTCCGATTGTGAGTAAAGCAATTCGTGCTTTAAGCCCCCTAGTCTGTAGCAGCCAATTGGGTGCATGGGACTCCCCCTCACATGACTCCACTACCTGCCCAGGCCCTTGGGCCCTTTAATAGGACACCATCTGTTAGGGTCTGAAGTGCCCTCCAGAACGTATGTTGGCGTCCTGACCTCATAACTGTGACGGGACATTGTGTGGGCTGTTATTGGTGAACATGGGGTCACAGTGGATCAGGTGGGCCTTGACCCTTCTGAGTGGGTACTTTGAACAGAGAAGAAGAGAGAAGAGACAGACTGACAGACAGAGGTTGCCAGGTTAGGGTAGAATGCTGCAGCTGCCAGCCCAGGAGCACTGAGGACCACCACAGCTGGTGCAGATGCTGAATTTAGACCCCAGCCTCCAGACAGTCTGTATCTATTTGTGGTCATTTATAACAGCAATCCTAGGGAAGTATACGGTGTCTTTGTTTCCGTTACTAAAATCGAGGCATAAAATGACAAACTCCAGGTCAGGCAACACTAATTGTAGATCTTGGGGTGGAGGGCGTCACAGAAAACCCACACACAGTGGGTCCTAGGCATTGCCAGGGACGTGCCATGGCGCTGTCAAGAACAGATACTAATTAAAGACACACAGAAACAGCCATGATTCAGCTAAAAAACAAAAAAAGATTTTAGCAGCCAATGAAAACAGGCTTCCCTGGGTGACACACATGGTTAAGTGCTGTACTTCTAGCAGAAAGGTTGGTGGTTCAAACCAACCCAGTGTCTTGGAAGACAGGGCTGATAATCAGCTTCTGAAAGGTCCCAGCCTTGAAACCCTGGACAGCGGTCTACTCTGCACACACAAGATTCGTTTCCTGGCACACGCATCTGTGTTGTTAGAAGTGCTGCCTCAGGCACAGCCGAGTGGACAGTGGGCAGGTGTGGACTGAGCCTGGGACCAGTAGCTTTCCTGGCTTCACTCTCTCTCCATTCTCTGCAGGGCACATGGCTTTGGTTCCTTCTAGGGGTTTCACAAAGTGCATGGAAAAATGGAATGAAAAGACCATGGCATTTTTCCACAAACTTTTGAAGCCCCCTTGTAATGATAGAAACAGTGGGTCCAGAAAGATATGTCCACGTTCTAACCCCTGGAACCTGAGCTTGGGAAAGGGAACCACTGCAGGTGTAAACAGGCTGGGGACGAGGCCATCCTGGTTCTTAACTGGAGATTTCAGTGCAGTGACACAGAGATGGATAGGGAGATGACCATGTGATTGCATAGGCAGAGATGGGAGTGAAATGGTACAAGCCCAGGGTTGCTGGAAGACAGCCGGGGACAGATGATCCCTCAGGGCTTACCCAGGAACCAGCCCTGCGGACACCCTGACGTCAGACTTCTGGCTCCACAATAAATAAACCGTGTTGTCCCAGGTGCCTCAGTTTGCGGGACTTCTTTAGGGCTGCCACCACTCGACGCCCTTTTGATCTCACCCCAGGCTAGCCACTTGAAGATTCAGACTGTTCCCAGGCCCCCAGTCCATCCCTGATCAAGTCCTTAGACATGCGTGTCCTGTGACAGCCGAGGGGCACACCTGTCCGACCCCCAGACAGCACAGGAAAAGCTGAATGAACAAGGAGAGTCACCATCCCGTCTCCCGTTAAAAGGGAGCTGGGCCTAGAACACATCGTACGCCTTTGCTTCTACACTGTGTTTGTCTCGACTTCATTAACAATGCAGAGATGCTGTCTTACAGAAAAGGACACAGCTTAACACGGTGGCTGTACTGGCTGACGTGGGGACAAGTGTTTGCAATGTGCCGTCCTCTCCATGGTGGGCAGGCAGCTCTGTGTTCCTGAAGTGCCCAGGGCAGAGGTAGTCGGAAGAAGAAGGGTCAGTGAGGTAAGTCCCATTTACAGACGATGAAACGGAGGCAGTGCCGTGTCTGGTCTGCACTGGTCCGGCTTCATCAGCGCAGAGCTGGGATCTGGGCTGTTTCTGGGTGCAGGGCTGAATCTGGACTTATCAGAGTCTTGCGGGGTGAGGGTGAGATGGGGGAACAAGGCTACTGCTTGTTCCTGATTGATCGGTTTGAACCTGTAGCTAGTTTCTCCCAACAAGGAAATCCAGGTGTCTCAGTGTGAAGGAGTTTCAAGAGATGGGGTCAGACCCCTCTCGAGTGTCCACACATTTCCAGCATAAGGTTTGTGGTTCCCTACAAGGGATGTCGGGCTTGCCTGAGGGGTCTCACACGAGTCTGTGGTATTGACTAACCCTAACCAAAGCCCTGGTGGTTGGCTCCTGGCATGAGCTGGGGCCTGGGCTGATCTTGAGATGGTGTAGGTAACATTCTGAGGTAAAACCCACACCCGCACGATACATTCTCCCTCACAAGGTTTGTGTAAAAACACAGAAAATGAAGTTATTCCTGGAGGCGGGCCAGGCATCTGCTCCACACAGAGCGGCTGCCAGCTGCCCACAGTGCCCGGCAGACCTGGAGCCTCTGCCAAAGCTGCTAATCACTGGGCAGCCTCTGCAGCCAAGAAAGGCCATGAGCAAGAGGCCACACTGTCTCCCACGCGCTGTCTCCCACGTGCTTGCCTGGAAGCGTCACCTCTACCCTGGAGACAATGTCATCTTCCCTGGGATATCTGTGCCATGGGGCAGCCTGGCTGGTGGGGCTCACAGAGGGAATGGCCCCAGAATATGAATCCAGTAGTGGACCTTCTAGAAAGATCTCTGGCTGGCGGCACCCTTAGTGGAAGGGGCGCCCGGGCTGCTGGCCCTGACTCCTCTGCCCACCAGTCTCTCTGTAGGTACACAGGACTCCCTGATCAGTCACTTTGGGGTGCATGAGGAGCCCCATGAGCCCAGCAGGGGTCCCAGAAGATGGCCCCCAATCTGCTGCTTTGGCTCACAGTGACCTTGTAGAACAATCCCCTAGGGTTTCCAAGGTGGCAAACTTTCTAGAAAGTCTTTTCTTCCCTGAGTTACTGGGTGAGTTCACACCACCAACCTTTCAGTCAGCAGCCCAAGTGCTCCATTGTTTGCACCCCCAAATCCATTCCTACTCCCAGTTTCCATAAAGCACCCAGTATAACTGTCCCACAGGGTTCCAAAGCTGTACACTTGTATGGAAACAGACTTCTTCTGCGGTCACCCTCGGTGGGTTTGAACCACCCGCCTCTCTGTTAGCAGTCAAGCTCCTTAACCACTGCACCACCAGGGCTTTCTGGCACATGGCCTGGTCGGGGAACCAAAAATCAGCCCAAGAGCGCTGTGGGAGACTTGATCTCTTCTGAGTCCTTGTAACTCGTGAGCTTGGTGAGGTCTGTCTTTGTGGCCCGCACTGTCCACTCCTTGTGCATTCGGGATATTTTCTGCCTGGAATGGTCAGTGGCCAGCACGTAGATGATTGGGTCAGCCACGCTGTTGACTGTTGACAAGCACAGGAACACCACCGACACTGTGTACAGACGGGCCTCGAAGGCACACATGGTGGCCTGGTCTTCACTGTAGTAGGAGAAGGCGATGGCTTTGATGAGGAGCACCAGGTGGTAGGGAGCAAAGCAGACCAGGAAAATGAGGACGATGGCCACTGCAAAGTGCTTCACCTTGGCCTTTTGGGCAGCACTCAAGCCTCTGCTCAGCCTGGTGCTTCTGATGATTTGGTGGTTGGTGAAGCCGATGATGAAGAAAGGGATGGCGAACCCAAAGGCAAACCTAGAGTAGTGGTACCTAGCGATCACGCTGTCCATCGGTGCCTCGTAGCAGGTGGCTTGCTCTGTCATGTAAAATAATGGGACGTGGATCACCCCCACGAGGAGGAAGACACATACAGAGATGAAGATGGCGGTCTTCTGGTGACGGCGGCCTCGGCTCTCTAGAGCGTACACCACTGCCACGAATCGGTCACAGGAGATGCAACACAGGAAGAGGATGCTGACGTAGATGTTGCAGAAGAAGATGTAGGCTGTCACCTTGCAGGCCTGGAGGCCCAGCGTCCAGCGGTGCTGGTTCTGGATGTAGGTGACCCAGAGTGGTAGGGTGCTGATATAGAGCAGCTCACAGAACGCTAAGCAGAAGAGGTATATGGCCAGCACGTTGCCCTGAAGCACCTGCAGCAGCGTCAGCCACGCCGTCAGGAGGTTGGCTGGGAGGCCCAGTGCACACACGGCGCTGTACACCACCACCAGGAACACTCGGCTCTCCTCAAAGGAATCATTGGAGAACTTGGCACAGGTGCTGTTTTCTGAAAAACAGAGACAAGAGTGAGGATGGGGTCCCTGGAACCCACTTGGAAGAGACTTCACAGAGACAAGAGAGGGGAAGAAGACCTGTGGTGGATTGCCAGATTCCAGGAGGATTTTTTTAGGTGATTGTTCGGCCATCATGGACAGAGAACTCAGGAGTGTCAGTTTCCAAGAAGGTGCACGTATGGTGCCTGGTGGGCAGAACTCTAGCCCATGGCCAGTCTCATGCTCTAGTTTGTAACGGTATCAATGGAGACAGGGATGGTGAGCCCGATGGCCAACCTCGAGAGGGAATGCTTACCCTCTTGTTGTTGACTGATTGTCCCTCTACGTAAATTCTCGAGTCTCAAGTTAGGCACCCCTCTGCCCTCTTCCACTGCCTTCGATACTTCTACACTACCCCACCCCGGATTGTGCATCAGACCCCGTTCAGATACTGACCCCTCCTGATCATTTTGCCCATTCAAGCTATCAGTTCCTGAGAAAATGATCAACATCTGCTTTGTGGTGAGTTTACCCACTTCTCCTTGCACATCTGTCAAGGTTGCATTATATATTTGAGCTATTGTTAGTGAGCATACAAGTTACAAATGGTTCTGTTTTCCAGGTGAATTTACCCTTTTATCCACGACAAATTGGAGAGAAATGGCTTCACGTTCATTGTCAAAAAGAACATTTCAAGATCATTCCTGACGTACAATGCAGTTAGTGGCAGGATAACATTCATATGCCTACAAGGAAGACCTGAATCCTTCTGTGATGCTAACTGCAAGGTTGGTGGTTCAAACCCACCAGTCACTACTTGGAAACCCTATCCAGGGTCTCTATGAGTCAGAACTGACTTGATGGCACTTAACAATAGCCAGAATAACAACAGCAACAAGGAAGGCCAGTTAATAAAGTTATACACTAACCGCTAATGCCAAAGAGAAAGAAACTGAAGATTTTTACCAACTTCTTTATTCTGAAATTGATCAAACCTGCAGTTAAAATGTATTGGTAATTACCAGTGGTTGGAATGCAAGGGGAAAATGACGGTAGTTGGAAAATATGGTCTTTATGATAGGACTGATACCAGAGATCACATGATTGAATTTTACACAACCAACCTCTTCATTGGTCCTGTTATGTTTTTACAAAAACATAGATAGCAAATATATATCATCTGTCAGTTGTCCATGCTCATGTTGCGTGTAGCTGCAATGCTGGAAGCTATGCCACTGAGATTTGAAATACCGGCAGGGTCACCCACGGTGGACGGGTTTCGGTAGAGCTTCCAGACTAAGACGGACTAGAAGGAAGGAGAGGTGGACTACATCTGATTGTTTAGCCACTGAAAACCTTATGAATAGCAGTGGACCACCAGATATAATGCTGGAAGGTGAGTCCCTCAGGTTGGAAGTCACTCAAAATACGACTGGGAAAGAACCATCTCCTTAAAGTAGAGTGGGCAGTGATAACACGAGTGGAGTAAAGATTTCGGGACCTTCATTTGCTGATGAGGCACAACTCGAGATAGGAAGAAACAGAAGCAAACACCCATTAATAATTGAAATGTTGTTGTTATTGTAAGGTGCCGTCCAGTTGGTACCAACTCATAGCAACCCTATGCACAGCAGAACTAAACATTGCCCAGTCCTGTGCCAACCTCACAATCATTGCTACACTTGAGCCCATTGCTGCTGCCACTGTGCCAATCCATCTTGTTGGGGGTCTTTCTCTCTTTTTCACTGACCCTCCACTTTACAAACATGATGTTCTTCTCCAGGGACTGGTCCCTCTTGGTAATATGTCTGAAGTATGAGAGAGGAAGTCTTGTCATCCTGGCTTCTAAAGAGCATTCTGGCTGCACTCCTCCCAACACAGATTGGTTTGTTCTTTTGGCAGTCAGTGGTACTTTTATATTCTCCTCCAACACCATAACTTAAATGCATCAATTCTACGGCCTTCCTTATTCACTGTCCAACTCTCACAGGCATATGAAGCTATTGAAAATACTATGGTTTGGGTCAGGCTCACCTTAGTCCTCAAACTGACATCTTTACTCTTGAAGACTTTAAAGAGGTCTTGTGCAGCAGATTTGTCCAAAGCAATACGTCACTTGATTTCTTGATTGTTGCTTCCCTGAGTGTTGATGGTTGATCGAGCAAAATGAAGTCTTTGATAACTACAACCTTGTCTCCATTTATCATGATGGTATTTATTGGTCCAGTGGTGAGGATATTTTGTTTTCTTTACATTGAGGTGCAACCTGTACTGAAGGCTGTGGTCTTTGATCGTAAGTATTTTAAGTCTTCTTCACTTTCAGCAAGCAAGGTTGTATCATCTGCATATCACAGACTGTTAATGTGTCTTCCTCCAATGCTGATTCCATGTTCCTTTTCATATAATCTAGCGTCTCAAATTATTTGCTTAGTATACAAATTGAATAAGTATCGTAAAATAATATAACCTTGGTGCACACTTTTCCTAACTTTAAACCATTCAATTAAATGAAACCTAGAATGTATGAAGTATGAATCTAGGAAAATTGGAAGTTGTCAAAAAGTGGAACACATAAAGATCACTGTCCCAGACACTACTGTGCTGAAATGGACTGGTCATTTCAGTGGCCGTTTTGAATTTGATAATTATATTGTTTACTCTGCCAGGAATGACAAATTCAAGGGCATGGCACAGCATTAATCATCAAAAAGAACATTTGAAGACCTATCTTGAAGTATAGCACTGTCTGTAATAGGATAATATGCATATGCTACAAGAAATACCAGTTAATTACGATAGAATGAATGTAAAACTAATGTTCTCCCATGTAAACTATCACATAATTCACAATAAAATATTTAAGAAAAAAAAAAGAAAAGAAATACCAGTTAATACCACTATTCTTCAACTGTATGTACCAACCACTGCAGCCAATGATGGCGAAATTAAAGAATTCTTCAAGGAGTTTTGGTGTGGCACTGTAGGATAAGCACTGGACTGCAAGGTTGGCAGTTCAAACTCACCAGCCACTCCTTGGAAACCCTATACAGGGTCATTGTGGGTCAGAACTGACTCAACAGCACTTTACAGCAATAACAACAGTAGCTTCTTCAGTCTGAAATTGATCAAGCACCCAATAAAGATGTATTGATAATTACAGCTGATTGGAATGCGAAGGTTGGAAACAAAGAGGAAAGACCAGTAGTTGGAAAATATGGTTTTGGTGATAGAAATGATGCTGAAGATTACAGATAGAATTTTGCAAGACCAATAACTTCTTCATTGCAAATTAAATTAACTTAAACAACATAAAAGGTGATTACACACATCACCAGATGGAATATACAGGAATAAAGTTGACTACTTCTGTGGGAAGAGATGGTGGAAAAGCTCTATATCATCAGCCAAAAGAAAGCCAGAAACAGACTATGGAACAGACCATCAATTGCTCAAATGCAAGTTTCGGCTGAAAGTGAAGAAAATTAAAACAAGTCCATGTTACCCAAAATATAATCTTGAACATATTCCAATTGAATTTAGAAATAATCTCAAGAAAAGATCTGATACATCAGACACTAATGACAGAAGACAAGAAGAGCTTGTGGGATGATGACTTCAAGAACATTATACAGGGGAAAGCGAAAGTTCATTAAAAAGACCGCAAAGAAAAAAAAGGCCAACTGGGCTGTCAGAAGAGACTCTGAAACTTTGCAGTGTAGAGATGCTAAAATGAATGGAAGAAATGAAGACGTCAAAGAGCTTGCAAAATATGTTGACAACAAACCGTTCTTCCCACAACCCTCTCGACTCCTCTGTGGGGCATGATCATCTGTTCCAATGGCCACACGGAACTCAAACACCACACTAGCAGGGTTTTTCAGGGAAGTGAACTGCTTACAATGGTGCTGGTAGTGGTAGTGTTGTTGTTATGTGCCATCGAGTCGGTTCTTATTCAAAGCAACCCTGTATAGGGTTTCCAACGCAGGAAATCTTTATGGGAGTGGTTGTTTCTGTTGTTAAGTACTATGGAGTTGGTTCCGATTCATAGTGACCCTGTGCAGGGTTTCTGAGGCTGAAAATCTTTACGGGAGCAGAACTGCCGACCTTGAGGTTAGCAGCCCAATTCGTAACCACTACGCTACCAGAGCTCCTTAGAAAACCTCATCTTTGTCCCATGAAGCAGCTGGGAGATTTGAACAGCGGACCTTGAGGTTAATAGCCCAACATGTAACCGCTCTGATACCAGAGCTCTGTAGCAGGTTCCAGTTCAGGGTTATCAGAAGTGCTCAGGGCACAGTTGTTCCAGTCAGCTGTTGGTAAATGCCCACAGGACACAGCACTCAGCCTGAAGGCACTGGGCCCCAGCTCCCCCATTTAGGGCCTGGAGGGAGCCCACTCTACAAGCAAGCTACCCACCCTACCCGGAGTCCCTCAGCTTTACTTGCTCCGTGGACTGGGAAGCCCACCGCTCTGCCTCGTGCTCTGGATCTTGGTTCTGCTGCCGCTGCTCCTCTGCCCCTCCTCCGGTGTCACAGCTCTCTGTCCCTAGATCGAGGAGGTTCAGTGCACAAGGATCTCAGGGTCCAAAGGACAGGCTCCACTCCTGGTTCTTCTTCTGTGATCGTAATGATATGCCCCTCCTGTTTCCAAGATGGCTGGTTTTAAACCCATGCTAGAGTTTTAAATTTTTACAATTACAATGAACTCTGCATTAACATCCACAGCTGAGTAATGTTATCCTATCAGCATCCTCTTCTGCTTTCTCTTTCCCAGACAAAGCAGGGCAGAAACATTGTTTGGTGGGAGTTACAGACTATGGCTGGAAGAGATATTAGACAATTCGCTCACTATGCCACAGAGCTGAGCAGAAAAATTAACAGAGTAGCTTGAAAAGACAAAGTCAAGTTTTTGTAATGAAATGTGCAAAGACCTGGATTTAGAAAACCAAAAGGAAAGAACACTTTCAGCATTTCTCAAGTTAAAAGAACTGAAGAAAAAATTCAAGCTTTGACTTGAACTATTGAAGGAGTCTATGGACAAAATGTTGAAGGATGCAGAAAGCATCAAAAGAAGATGGAAAGAATACACAGAGTCACTGTACCAAAGAGAAATGGTCGATGTTTAACCATTTCAAGAGGTAGCATCTGATCAAGAACTGGCTGTACTGAAGGAAGAAATCCAACTGCACTGAAGACATCAGTGAAAATCAAGACTCCGGGAACTGAGGGAATACAAGTCGAAATCTTTCAACAAAGTGATGCCACACTGGAGGCACTCACTCATCTATGCCAAAAAATTTGGAAGGCCAACCAATTGGAAGAGATTCATATTTGTTCCCATTCCAAAGAGAGGTGACTCAATGGAATGTGGAAATCATCTAGCAACATCATTAATATCACATGAAAGTAAAATTTTGCTGAAGATAATTTAAAACTGGCTGTAATGGTACATCGACAGGGAACTGACAGCAATTCAAGCTGGATTCAGAAGAGGATATGGAGCTGAAGAAATCATTGCTGACATCAGGTGGACCTGGGTGAAAATAGAGAATACCAGAAAGATATTTACTTGTACTTTATTGACTATACAAAAGCTTTCAACTGTGTGGATCATGAAAAGCTATGAATAACATTCAAAAAATGTTATTAAGTGTTAACACACTTAATTGTGTTCATGAGGAACCTGTACATAGACCAAGAGGCAGTTGTTCAAACAGAACAGGGGAACAGTGCATGACTTAAAATCAGGAAAGGTGTGTGCCAGGGTTGAATTCTTTCACCATATTTATTCAATCTGTGTGCTGAGCAAATAATCTGAGAAGCCAGGTTATATGAAGAAGAATATGGCATTGGGATTGGAGGAAGACTCATTTACAACCTGTGATATGCAGATGACACAACCTTGCTTGCTGAACATGAAAAGGACTTAAAATACTTACTGATGGAGATCAAAGACCACAGTGTTCAGTATGGATTATACCTCACTGTGAAGAAAATAAAAATCCTTACACTTGGGTCAATAAATAACATTACGTTAAATAGAGAAAAGATTGATGTTATCAAAGACTTCATTTTGCTTGAATCCACAATCAACACTCATGGAAGCAGCAGTCAAGACATCATATGAAAGTAAAATTTAGGCAAATCTACTGTACAAGACCACCTTAAATTGTTCAAGAGCAAAGATGTCAGTTTGAAAACCAAGGTGTGCCTGACCCAAGCCATAGTATTTTCAATAGCCTCATATGCATGTGAAAGCTGAACAGTGAATGAGGAAGACCACAGAAGAATTGATGCCTTTGAGTTACGGTGTTGGAGGAGAATATTGAACGTGACATGGACTTCCAGAAGCACAAGCAAATCTGTCTTGGAAGAAGGCTCCCTTGAAGCCAGGATGATAAGACTTCTTCTCTCTCACTTTGGACATGTTAGGCGGTAACAGTCTCTGCAGAAGGACATCACGCTTGGTAAAGTGGAGGGTCAGCAAAAGAGAGGAAGACCCTCAGTGAGATGGATTGGCATAGGGGCAGCAGCAATGGGCTCAAGCAGAACAATGGTGAGGGTGTCGCATGTCCGGGCAGTGTTGTGTTGTGTTGTGTTGTGTTGTGCATAGGGTCACTATGAGTCAGGACCAATTCAACAACACCTAACAACAACAGCAACATACTTAAGTTCACATATTTTGGCTCTTGTGGGCTTGTTTTAATTTTCCTCACGCTCGTTAGAAGTGAGGATGGAGACGCTGTGTCTAATGCACTCTAGACATGTTATCAGGAGGGACCAGTCCCTCCCGATGTCCAAGAGGTCCTGGAGAGGGACAGCTTGCTTGGTTAGTGAAAAAGAGGAAGACCTTCTATGAGATGGGCTGGTACAGGGACTATAACCATGTACAACCAAGATTGTGATGCTAATGCAGGACCCGAGAGGGTTGGTTTCTGTTGTGTAGAGGGCCCAACAACAACAACAGCGACATCTACGTTATGATGCTCTTCATCTGTGTGGCCTCCCAAAGATGGCCATGCCCTGAGATTATGTTTGGTTCCATCACAGAGGAGAAGAAAGGTCATAGATGGAACTAAAGCGCCTCTTAGCCCCATGCTGTTGGTAAGTGTTGGTGAGTCGGTTCTGACTCATAGCAGCCCTGTATAGGGGTTCCGAGCAGCAGCTGGTGGGTTTGAACTGTCGATCTTGTGACTCACAGTCCAGTGCTGATCTTACAGTGCCACACTAGGAGTTCCCTGTTGTTGTTTTAAGTGACTTCAAGTTGGTTCCAACTCACAGTGACCCTGTATAGGATTTCCAAGGAGCACCTGGTGAGCTTGAACCACCAATCCTACATTCAAACCAAGCTTACAGTCCCGCGCATTAACCCGCAGCACCAAGCCAGGACGCCCCGGAATCAGTCTAAGGGCCACTTGGCACCCCCTTTGGCTGCAGTCCTAGGCTGCTACTTGGTGTTGACTCATCAGGAAGCTGTGGTCAGACACAAGCTCTGTGCCTGCCCAAGTGACAGATTGGGGTTTTTTTCGGGTTCTCCAGCTGCAGACCCACCCAGCAGTGTACTCTGTAGGATACGACCTGAGAAGGGACAGTCTTAATTGCATGCTGGCTTTACAGGGCTTCTCCTGGACAACACCCCTGAGCCTGTGGACCCATCTGGGTCACGACAGTCCCCTGGCTGTTACTTACAGAGAAGCAGGAATGTGGGGATCGGTTTCACTGTGGACAGTATGCATTAAATCACATCTGCTCCTTGGATTAGGCTGGGACATCATCTCCCAACCATAGAAACCACCCACACCACCTGCCTGCTGCCCCCGTGACTCCCACTAACTGGCAGATAGCAGTCAGCATGCCCTGGATGCTGGTCACCTTGAGTGGCTTTGGCCGGCTGCCCAGGGCAGCCACGTGCAACCTCTCAGGACCCTTGTCAGAGAATGTCAGTGGAGTAACAGGTTCACCCCGGTGGGAAAGGGCTGCGGAGCCCACCAGACAGCTGCTGCTTTCTATGAGGGGCTTCTTGTCCCAAGTGGCTCCTGGGTGCCCTCAGGCACCTTCCAGACCACCCCATTTACAGACAAAACTTCTAAGTTCTGTGCCAGCAACTGGGCTGTGACGTGCAAGCGGGTTGTAGAGAAAGAATTAGGGGCCACAGTGATGGTTCTCGGGGAGCTCCCTGGGTCCCCCAGCACAACCCCCACCCTGTGGCCTGGAAACTCTGTGGGAGGTCCCCCATCCATCCCCCACTTCTTCCAGCCCAGGGAGTGGCCCCCAGCCCGTGCCCGCTTAAGGCAACACAGAATGCCCAGTGCTAGCCAGGACAAACACTGTCCAGTGCTTTGCCATCCCGTGGTGAAGCCCCAGCACCCTGGATGTGTGGTGACCACCTGCTCCACCACCTGCAGCTCCCCATGGGTAAACGTCATGTCCAGGTCTGCCAGAAAAGAGCCATTGGGGTGGACAGAGTCCCCAGAGAAGGGGAGGAGGCAGCCTACCACCAGGAGGCAGATTCACATGTCTGTGGTCAGCAAGGCTCAGGGGCTCTCCCAAGCAATGGGATACTATCCACAGCAGATGGCCACCTGAGACCTCTGACTGTCCCCTCACTCCCATCCCTGGGCATTTCCAGCATTTCTCCAAAGTATCATGAGATGGACATGAACCAGCCTGCAGCCCAACTATCCCCAAGTTCATTGCTATTTTGATAAAACCACTTCTGAAGTAATTGTCTTCATTATGAGACCAAGTGCATTGTAGGAAAATTTCGGACAGGCTGCCTCTTGAATCCTCAAAGGGGCCACTCACCTTGCATAGTTGTGCTAGTCCAGCTTCAGGGGTGGCTCCAAAACAGGGGTTCCAGCCCACTGCATATGCCTTGTCAGTCCTATTTGAAGTTTACTCCCAAAGTCTAAAGTGATCTGGAATAAAAGAAGTGGAGTTTGGGATTGCTTTGAGAGTCAAATTAGACTGAAAATTAACTCATTGCACAAAGGACTTGTCGTTGTTCAGTGCCTTCGGGTCAGTTCCGACCCTAAGAGACCCTGTGGAGGGGTCCGAGGCTTCTAAAGCCTTCCCAGGAGAAGAAAGTCTCATCTTTCTCCCACAGAGTGGTTGATGGGCTCGAACCTGGGACCTTATGGTTTGCAGTGCAGTACTTGTTGGATGGAGCCACTGTGTTCCCCAAACGAATGACTATAGAGCATTAATTACATATTAGTGCTATGTGATACGACAGCAGGTCCGTAATATACAAAGAGCACCTACAAATCAATCAAAGACAACCTGACAGAAAATGGTCAAGGCACAAATGAGGGGAAATTTTACCAAAGAAATAAAAATATCCCATAAAAGGTTTGTTGTGGCAGAATAGGATAAGCACTGAACTCCTAACTGGAAGGTCAGCAGTTCAAATCCACTAGCTGCTCCTTGGAAACCCTATACAGGGTTGCTATGAGTTGGAACCAACTTGACGGCATGTAATAACAACAAAAGTCCAAAACCTGCTCAACTCCATTTATAATCAAAGAAATGCAGCCAGGTGCATGTGAAAGATGCTCTTCTTGCTGAGCAGACTGGCAAAAATCATGAGCTTTCATTGTTAGTGCCAGTGAGAGTAAGGACACGTGTAAACTGGGACTAACTTTTTGGAGCACAATTTTGAAACACGCTTCCAAAAATTGTAAATGGGCGTAACTCAGAGGAACTTTCCCTGGTGAAATAGGGACCTAAGATGCAGGGTGGTGGGTGCCTTTGCCAGTCAGGTCCCCACGCATGTAGCATGTATCCAGGGAACCGCACACCGAGTAGCGCCCCCGCCCCTAGGCCAGGCCCCAAAGCACAGAGGTAAGGGCGCTGGTAAGTGGTGTGCTTCCTTCCCGGACCACACTTGAGGCTTCTGTGCTGGCAATGCTCCTGAGACAGGCACCACGCCTATCAGCCAAGAGGGTCCGGGAGAGGCAGGTGTTCTGAGCCCACACAGATGGTGAGGACAGAACACCCAAACCAGGAGACACCCTAGCGGTCTGCCTGTGTCAGGCTGTCCTAAGTCCACAGGAGCCAAGGACCCGAGTTGGCAAGGGGTGCCCTACTCAAACCCCTCCTCCTGATGTCCTGGTCCAGAGCCCTGCCCACACCACCCAACACAATGGAGGGGAGTAGCTGCCCAGAGCTGGAATCACACCTAAATGCTCCCCATCTCCCTGAGTCCAAATACTGGCCAGAAAGTGCCACGGCCTTCTTTTCTTCAAGAGTATTTCTACAGACCCCAACCTGGAAATAACAGGAAGCCAAGATGTTTACTTGAAATGACAGGAAGTTCACTGGCTGAGAAAGAGTTGTCAACAGTTCCCTGAACACCAGGGACGAGGGCTTCACCACACCACAGACTTACATGGTCTTGTCACTTGATGAGGTGAGTAGTGGTTTGCTACCTGTTAGGAGAGAAGCACAAGCTTTCCTGGGGACTCGGCCCTGTGAGAGAGGTAATGTGAACAGCAACTTGGGTTCAGTGGACCAGGTGCTGTGCAGGTGGAGGGACACAGAGGCCAGGCCTACGTCGAAGCAGAATCTTAGACTAGAGAGTTTACTACAAATTAGTAGGTAAACAAGCATGTGTTTACCTCATGTATTGGGTACTCCGACACTGCTGAACACACATCACAAGGTGAGATGTGGACGTGATAAAAAAGAGAGAGGTCAGCTCAGAAGTGACGGCAGCCTGTGTAGGTCCATCAGGGGTCAGGCCTCAGCAGGGACCCTGGGATTCTGCTCGCCTGCTGGTAGGATGAGTGACACCAGCCCTGGTCATAGGGTCCTTGTGTCCTGTCCCTTCCGAGCAGAGAGTCAGTCATCAGTTAGAGACTTGTGTTTACCCAGAGGCACCTTGGAAGAAAGGCCTGGAGAACTACTCATGAAAACTCATCCACTGAGAACCGTGTGGAGCACAGTTCTACTCTGACACACACGGGGCACCATGAGTGGAATCTACTTATGAAAAATCATCCACTGAGAACCCTGTGGGCACAGTTCTACTCTGACACACATGGGGGCACCATGAGTGGGATCTACTTATGAAAAACCATCCACTGAGAACCGTGTGGAGCACAGTTCTACTCTCACACACACTGGGCATCATGAGTGTAATCTACTCATGAAATATC